GCCGTGTATGTTGTCTGCTTTCAGTCGACATCAGTTTCTATGAAGCGGTGGACTATGGGATCTTGAGAAATGCGGACCTTGGTGTGGGTTGGGCGGGTGTATGTGGGTAGGCTGGGGACGGTGTGGGTTGGGCGGGTGTATGTGGGTAGGCTGGGGACGATGTGGGTTGGGCGGGTGTATGTGGGTAGGCTGGGGACCTTGGTGTGGGAGAGGGTTTGGGGGAGGGGAAATGTTGTTAGAATATTGGGGAAGCGGCGTGATCCCAGGCACACTACTCCTATATCAACTACAAGAGTCCTATCTCCACTACACGGGTTCTATCTCCACTACACGGGTTCTATCTCCACTACACGGGTTCTATCTCCACTACACGGGTTCTATCTCCACTACACGGGTTCTATCTCCACTACACGGGTTCTATCTCCACTACACGGGTTCTATCTCCACTACACGGGTTCTATCTCCACTACACGGGTTCTATCTCCACTACACGGGTTCTATCTCCACTACACGGGTTCTATCTCCACTACACGGGTTCTATCTCCACTACACGGGTCCTATCTCCACTACACGGGTCCTATCTCCACTACACGGGTCCTATCTCCACTACACGGGTCCTATCTCCACTACACGAGTCCTATCTCCACTACACGAGTCCTATCTCCACTACACGGGTCCTATCTCCACTACACGAGTCCTATCTCCACTACAAGGGTCCTATCTCCACTACACGAGTCCTATCTACACTACAAGAGTCCTATCTCCACTACACGGGTCCTATCTCCACTACACGGGTCCTATCTCCACTACAAAGATCCTATCTCCCTCCACTACAAGAGTAGTGGAGATAGGCAGGTGAATGTGGAGACTGTATCTCCACTACACGAGTCCTATCTCCACTACAAGGGTCCTATCTCAATTGCAAGAGTCCTTTAGGGCAGCTTATTCGAAGGTGGAGCCGATGGCGTGGGTTGAGAATTTCCTATGTTGTGTCTGGCCTGCATTTTGCGTCCGGACATAGCTGCAATTATCTTGTCTATTGACTGTTCGTTCCATTCGGACATAACTGCTATTATCTTCATTCTACTGAGTGTTCATTTCATCAGGATATAGCTGCAATTATCTTCGGTCTACTGATTGTTCATTCTATCATATATTGTACATATCTACTAGGCTTCTGCTGTTGCGAATCAACATTCCTGCATATTAGTACCCAACCATTTGGACTGGTAGGTTGACTGACGTTTGTTGCAGTGTCCACGTTCTATTCCCGACCATACCATGGCAGTAGTTGAGCACTATTCATTTACTCCGACCTCATATCCCATCTTCTTGTCCTCACATCCCTATCACAAATAATAATTTATCTGTTAGGTCAGATAATTCATGATGATATATAGATGATATGATCAGATCAGATAATTCGTATTTTCCATAGATGTTATGATCAGATCAAATATTCGTATTTTCCATAGATATGATCAGATCAGATAATTCGTATTTTCCCATAGGTGTTATGTAGCCTACACCCAGTTCCACACACGTCTTACTGTAGCCTACACCCAGTTCCACACACGTCATGCTTTAGCCTACATGACTGTAACCTACACCCAGTTCCACACACGTCTTACTGTAGCCTACACCCAGTTCCACACACATGGCTCCATCATGTCAGGTGTAGTGTCCTTCTGTTCTACACCGTACGTTATATAATATTTGAAAGTTTTATTTCTTTTCCGGTTAATTCCTATCCCGCTACGACCACATTTAGATATGGGCGAGGCCAGAGCTGTGTAGAGACCTTGGTTGTGTTATTACGATACAGGTTACAGGGTTGTGCTGTGAGATCTGTACACAGCAACAGGCCCTTCGACCACCACCTGGGCACACGTAGTGCATATAAGGATACTCATTGCATAGACATCTGCTATATTTGCATGTTCTCCCTTCATATATTTGTTCTAGCTTAAATCAGCTGATGTTAGAACATGTTTCAGGTTTTCCTAGTAGCCGGCGGGTACGTCAGGCTCCCTCCAGGAATCCTGAATCACTTGCAGATATATGACAATGTAATCACCACTGACGTCACATAATGCCACAACTTCAAGAAACCGGTGATGAGAGTGAGAGCTCATCACCGCCGGTACTGTGGCTCTCCACTCTTATCAAGGCTGTGTAGCCGCCCACTACTACCATTGCTCCCAACCTCCTTTAGTACTTTTGAGTATATGTAACGCCGCTCTCATCTCACTCTATGCTAATACAAAAATCACTCCTATTTACATGCTATCATCCTGTCACATGATAGCATGATCAAATTAGTGATGTAATTGCTTCTTATTAGAGAGTAGTCATATATATACAAATATTTAGTACAAATATACTAATATGTCTAGTTTTATTGGAGGGAACGGGAGATTGAGAGCTCAGTGTGGCCTGAGCCACGGTGCGGGGTGGTCACTGGTGTAGCGCTCGCGGCCGGTCTTGTAGTGGTGGTGTGGACCCCATCACCCGCCTCTTGTGTGGTCCCTGTAACAGCTTAGACCCCCAGCCCCTCCCTCTCCTCCACCAGCCCCTTCCCTCTCCTCCACCAGCCCCTTCCCTCTCCTCCACCAGCCCCTCTCCCTCTCCTCCACCAGCCCCTCTTTCTTTCCTCCACCAGCCCCTCTTTCTTTCCTCCACCAGCCCCTCTCCCTTTCCTCCACCAGCCCCTCTCCCTTTCCTCCACCAGCCCCTCTCCCTTTCCTCCACCAGCCCCTCTCCCTTTCCTCCACCAGCCCCTCTCCCTTTCCTCCACCAGCCCTTCCCTCTCCTCCACCGGCCCTTCTCCCTCTCCTCCACCAGCCCCCTCCCTCTCTCCTCCACCAGCCCCCTCCCTCCCTCTCTCCTCCCTCCACCAGCCCCCTCCCTCTCTCCTCCACCAGCCCCCTCCCTCCCTCTCTCCTCCACCAGCCCCCTCCCTCTCTCCTCCACCAGCCCCCTCCCTCTCCCCTCCACCAGCTCCTCCACCAGCCCCCAGCTCCCTCTCCTCCACCAGCCCCCTCCCTCTCCCACTAGTCTCCTCTCCTCCACCAGCCCCTTCCCTCTCCCTCTCCTCCACTCTCCTCCACCAGCCCCCTCCCTCTCCTCCACCAGCCCCCGCCCTCTCCCTCTCCTCCACCAGCCCCCTCCTTTTCCTTCTCCTCCACCAGCCCCCCTCCCTCTCCTCCACCAGCCCCTTCCCTCTCCCTCTCCTCCACCAGCCCCCTCCCTCTCCCTCTCCTCCACCAGCCCCCTCCTTTTCCCTCTCCTCCACCAGCCCCCCTCCCTCTCTTCCACCAGCCCCCTCCCTCTCCCTCTCCTCCACCAGCCCCCTCCCTCTCCCTCTCCTCCACCAGACCTCTTCTTTTCCCTCTCCTCCACCAGCCCCCTCCCTCTCCTCCATCAACCCCCTTTGCAATCCTCCACCAGTCCCCTCCCAATCCTCCACCAGCCCCCTCCCAATCCTCCACCAGCCCCCTCCCAATCCTCCACCAGCCCTTTCCAAATCCTCCACCAACCCCCCTCTCCTCAACCAGCCCTCTCCTCTACCAGCCCCCTCCCTCTCCTCTACCAGCCCCCTTCCTCCCTCTCCTCTACCAGCCCCCTTCCTCCCTCTCCTCTACCAGCCCCCTTCCTCCCTCTCCTCCACCAGCCCCTCCCTCCCTCTCCTCCAGCCCTCTCCCTCTCCTCCACCAGTCCCCCCTCCCTCTCTTCCACCAGCCCCTCCCTCTCCTCCACCAGCCCCCTCCCTCTCCACTAGCCCCATCCCTCTCCACCAACCTCCTCTCTCTACTCCACCAGCCCCTCTCTCTACTCCACCAGCCCCCCTCCCTCTCCTCCACCACCCCCACTCGCCCTAACCCCTTAGTTTGTCACACCCCCTCATTACCCTTCATCCTATCTCTCCGTATTCACTCAACGTGCCCCTAGTCCTCCCCCTTGCTGGTTCCCCCTCCCTACACCTGTGTTGCCTCTACCCTTCCCTTCCCTACCCCTCTGCTCCCCCTCCTCCCCCAACCTCTCCCACAACCTCTCCCACAACCCCTCCCACAACCCCTCCCCTCATCACCGCCAAAGAGGAGCCGGTGTACAGTGTGACGTCACTTGGAGTACTTCATAACATATTCACCTGATCAGTAGCGGGTAAGTACACATTTGAAGGTGATAGTGTGTGTAGGTGTGGTGTGGCGAGGGTGTGGTGTGGGTGATGTGGGAGTGATATAGGTAAGGGTGTGGACGTGGTGGCAAAATGTGTGGTTATGTATGCCGGTACTTTAGCATCCTCACTTTATGAAGATTATATAGTGTGTGCCAAGTGACGCTCCCATTCTAAGATCTCCATCTCGCAGGATGGCCAGTCATACAGGGACATGTCAGTATTCTACAGCGGATGCATTATGAGGGCATCCTCTAGAACATGAGTGAAAAAATGTAATTGCAAAGTGCCAGGTACCCCTCATACCAACCGGTCTCAATGCTCCAGGTACCACATACCGGCCGGTCTCAAGGCTCCAGGTACCACATACCAACCGGTCTCAAGGCTGCAGGTACCTCATCAACCTGTCCTCAATACAAAGAACGTCGCTTTTCGCTCGTACGTGTTACATAAGGCCAAAAATTATTGTAGTAGAAAGTAAAAGCGGCTGGCGAAAGTGACGTAGTCCTGTTTTGGGTCCTCTGACTTAATCTGGTAGGTTAGGAGAAGACACTTTAAATTGACCGTTTTATTTACGTTTTGAAACCTTGGGAGGACGGGCTGACCTCATACCGGCTGCTTTGAAGGGTATAATGAAGGGTATAATGACGGCCTGCAATAATGTAGTGTGTGAGATCATGACCCAGTTCCTGCTCACAGAGTTTGCACCTGGAGTGCTCTGGTTTGGGAGATCCGTCACCTGTAGCCACCTGCCACAGGTAACGGTAACCTAACCTGATCCTGGCAACCACTGTGTTGCACAGTCTAGTGGACGTTGTTCTTTCTGTCCACATGTTTGGGTTACAGATCTAAACTAATCACAGTTTTTATACTGGTGTTTCCCGGCCATTGAGTGTCTGGTATTCCTTTATCAGAGATGAATGGTTGGAGAAATATAGTCTTAACAGAGATGGGGATACCTAGGTCAAGTTGCTGGTAGCTACTTATAGTGCACCTAGTTCTTTTAGTGTACTGGTAGCTAGTGTTATGATTGCAGTCTGATAACAATCCTTTCCGGCTTGAAGAGTCATTTTTTCCCACCTAGAAAGATTGTAGACGGCCCAAGCTGTAATTGTAGTTAAAAAGGAATTTTATACACAATGTTTCGTGATATTTGGCTGTAAAAGGGTAAATTGTGGCAGTTTGCAAAACAAAATGGCGCTCGGGCGGGCGGTGACACATCCAGGGTTTGGTGAAGTGCAGTGACACTCTATCAGCGGGCACCAAGCCTGCCCCAGGGAGCAGAACCCGGCTCACTGTTCGGCTAGACTTCACACATGGAGGTTGTGACCTTGGCACTTGAGGACCAGTAGATTGGGATCTAAAGTGACAGATTTGGATCTTAAGTACGAGTTGAGCCTAGGAGATGGGAGTCAGGCGTTTTCAGGACTCAGACCATTAAGGCGCCAAAGGGACCTTTCTGGATAAGGCCATAAGAGTATCGTCGACGAAGGGCCTTGCTGAGAGTGGAGACTCGATAGCAAACCAGATTCAGTGGAGGGAGCTGCAATTACCTTCATTTGAATCTTGGTGGGTGAACACGAATGGCCTGACCGTCGAAGCCTAGTGACAGTCCCTACTAGTGAGCGTGGGACGTGATAACAATTCGGTGTGTGAATCCATGAGAAGTAGCCGTGGAAGAGGCTAATGATGGCATGACCGAGGTCACGGTAAGCAAGTGCTCCTTCTAATTTTGCCTGTGATGACGCAAATGAAGTGTTGACTGTGATTCTGGAAAGGGAGTGATTTATTTAACTGTGCCAACTAAGAGGCCGTGAATAATCGTACATCGATTTAAAAAAAGCATTATAGTAACCAGTGAGGTGAGCAAGTGTGGCAGAAATTAATATCTCTGGTTACCCTATAGAGACAGTGAATCTAGGAAAAGACTGTGACGGCGCCAGCCTGTATCGAAACTGACCCAGCCAGTGAAGTCGACCTTTGTAATATCTTCCATGGCAGTGAATCAGCGCACTGAGCTCTGGCATAAGGATGCCGGGACAAGGTACACCCCGCGGAGCGACAAGGGTCAGGGGAGATACAGTGTCGACACCGACGTCGGACGCCCCGCTAGGAGTGTCCCCCAGTGTGTCGAGAGGATCGGCGCCAGGATGTGGTGATGGCACTTCAGAGACCTGGCGACACACGGCATCTATAAACCACAGAAGATATCATCATTTCCTAACTGCGTAATCTGCTCTCCCCTTTTCCCTTGTTGAATAGGCGTTCCTAAGGGATCCTGTAGGAGTTTTATATTATATAAAAAAATAAGAAGGGCGGTAGAAGAGGAAAAGATTAAAGTGTTCAGTGAGAATCCACAAGGTCTTCTCTGAATACTCTTTATTTTCTTCTTCGAGGCTGTGGGTCCCTACGATTGCACCAGAGTTGGTACCCCTATTTTGTATATATATATATATATATATATATATATATATATATATATATATATATATATATATATATATATATATATATAATATATATAATATATATATAATGTGGTACGATACATTGAAATTATACATGTGAATAGATTAACGTTAGTATTAATGAAGGTCGAGAGCGGCCGTTGACTGCAGACTTGATTGAGGCTATCCAAGATAAGTAATTATTTATTTTAGTAATTTTGTTAGTAAATATTATTTTAGTTTTAAACGCTGTGTTTACATGTACCTGCATAACAATTATGCCACGCCTGCATTACAATTATGCCAATTATGCATTCGTATGTGAAAGCCTGACAGCAGGGTATTGACCACTTGAGTTCAGGAATATAGATTTAATGAAATCGGGGAACATAGCCTCATGTTTCAAGATGACAAGAGCAGAGAAATTGAAGCCATTTCTTTCGCTGGGCTCAGGTGAGAACCCCGATGATCACAACAGCTGGATAACCAGGTGTTTGTGATAGCAGCAGACACCTGCTGCTCAACCTCCTGCTCTCTGGGGACAGAAGGTAGCCTAGTGAGACCCCCAGAGGAGGTGTGAGGTGCCTGTGTTCAGGGGCTGGTGTGCACAGGGGGTTAAGCGCCCACTTCATCACCAGGGAAAGTGAGTACAGAGCCGATATTAAAGAGAGCAGTGACGGAGTGTCCCCGGTGGAGCTCCACGAGGCTCAAGGCTTGATAATCAACAGTGGGACCTAATAAACAGAATGTAAAACAGTCTTGCATATTCAACAGTGATATCAATAATCTCACTAATACTGTCAGCGGTACGAGTGTTTACAATGTCTACGACTGTTAACTGTCACAAACTCAGTTAATATATCCTACCTAACCTATCGATATATATATCGATAGGTTAGGTAGGATGTATTAACTGAGTTTGTAGTCAATCCGTCCTCATACAAAGTTCATTCCATCCAGTGGTCCCTCGATAGAATTCTAGGTGAATCGGATACTTTTGATATCGTTCGCCTTATGCGTTTTTGTTCTCGTATTGGCATTCTTGGTGATATTTAGCGCCATCTGATTATTTCGCACTTTGACGGTGCTACATAGCCTTCCCGGTTTGGTGCCTTCTTTTGATAATTACCTTACCTCCATCCAGTGGTCGACCCCAAAGACGCATTCATAAATTGCAGGCATTGGTTAGGTGTTTAGGCTCTGTTGGCAATTATTTGTATTTGTAGTACGTGGGTGAAGCATTTACAGCGTTTTGGTTCGAACAAAAGACGTCAGCGAAGCACTTGTTCTGGAAGTGTTCGAACTCCTCAGTTGTGAGTCGTGTGTAAACCGTTTTTCATTCATAAACAGGGGGTTTGGCGGGTGCATGGAATGGACTTTGGCCCTTGTTTATGAGGTCGGGCTGCTCGTAGTACAGTTATCTACGTTCTCGGCTCACATTCGGGAACCCTGGGTTCGATTCCCGCACGGGACACAAATGGTAAGCCATGTTCCCTTTCACCCAATGCCTTTGTTCATATTGGAGTAAATAGGTGTTGTGGGGTTGCAGCCTTGGGAGGGTCAGTAGTTCGACCTTGGGGGAACCTCGATTCAAACCTAAATTATATATATTTTGTCTATGACAGTTCTTCCTGTCATAGACAAAACAGACTGTGGAACTGTTTTGTGTACAGTTTGAGCCCATCGGTGTGAAGGGATGAGACATGACCTCTGGCGTATCTAGGTTCAGCGAGGGTTCTGTGACAGTCTCTGGTGATCTCAATATCCTCCATTGTATGCTTGGCTCCACAACCCCCCCCCCCTCTCTCTCTCTCTCTCTCTCTCTCTCTCTCTCTCTCTCTCTCTCTCTCTCTCTCTCTCTCTCTCTCTCTCTCTCTCTCTCTCTCTCTCTCTCTCTCTCTCTCTCTCTCTCTCTCTCTCTCTCTTGTCTCTAACGCTCCTGTGTTAGGTCCTTCACACACCTCGCCTCCGGTGTATAACTTTTGTTCTCTCATTCTGTAATGTACCTCCGTACTGTGGGTGTGCTCACCTAGTCGCACTCACCCAATTGTGCTCCTGCGCTCAAGCCCCGCCTTTCGACTATCATTAGTTCAATGCAGTGACTCATTTCACTCGTGTTTCTTATATTTATATTTAAAACTGTATATCGATTTGGCTTCGACAACTTCCTCGTCTATCATGTTACACTGTTACACGACTCTTAGACTGAAAAAGTTCCTTCTGGTGTGTGTGTGTGTGTGTGTGTGTGTGTGTGTGTGTGTGTGTGTGTGTGTGTGTGTGTGTGTGTGTGTGTGTGTTTACGTGTGCACGCGCGTCATGTATAGCGCTTTAATAAGATAATAATGTAATATAAGTCAGGCGTTAACAATTCCCATGCAAAAATTCGAATATTTAATGTCAAATTCAGACAAATCTATAAGAATTAATTATTAATAATTAATTTTAGGACGAAATAAGCCATGTATGTATCAGCTATCCAGCAACTGTCGAAATTATAAATATAATTTAGAGTATTCTAGTATCAAGTATATAGAGAAGAAATAAGATATTTCGAGCACTGACGAAACATGTACATCTTTCCTTAACCATGGCAGAGCAGTCAGTATTTATTAAACTGGTTACGAGTTCCATAAACACACATGTCGGTATACCATACAAGAAAGTTCCATACACACACACACACACACATGTCGGTATATCATACAGGAAAGTTCCATACATACACACACGTCGACATATCATACAAGAAAGTTCCATACACACATACGTCGATATATCATACAAGAAAGTTCCATACACACACACGTCGATATATCATACAAGAAAGTTCCATACACACACACACGTCGGTATATCATACAGAAATCTTTTTAATTCATGCTTCAAAATATATCAACACTAAGAAGAAAGAAAAGAATGACACCATGATTAAATTAATAATATCAAATCGCAATAATTCATCACCAAACAGAAAATGTAAAATAATTTCAACTCATTTCGAAATACAGCAAATGTATGCGTGATCTAGCAGCTGGCAGTCCCGCCTAGGGCAGGCTATCCCATGAGGCTACGGCGCCACCAGTCGTGGGAAACCACTATTAATATTTCATGAACAAACTTGTTCTCAGTAAACCATCTCACGAAAGCCATTACTACGCATGTAGTTCAGCCCCCTTTCCCCCTGGGCCAGCATACACGAAGCAGCTTAATCTATATTAAACAAACACTTTCGACCAAATTACTTACTGTAAGTGCTGTCATTTTAGGAGGCTTGGCTTTAGTTACTACAGGTATAGAATAATATTAAATAATACTCCATTGGTTTAATATAATAGTGAGGAATATCGTTATTTTTTCATCTAATACCAGTACAGTACGCATGTACTGAGTGTTATTGCTAATACGTCTAAATAAAGCTAATATGTGGGTCATTCCTGTGACTGATCATTCGATAGGACTGTTATAGAGGCGTTCATTGTTACATGAACAGTATAAACACCAGACCTGGAGCCACACCAGGACTGGTCCAGGGTGCCACACCTGGACTGGCCCAAAGCGCCACACCAGGACTGGTCCAGGGCGCCACACCAGGACTGGTCCAGGGGTGCCACACCAGGACTGGTCCAGGGTGCCACACCAGGACTGGTCCAGGGTGCCACACCAGGACTGGTCCAGGGCGCCACACCAGGACTGGTCCAGGGGTGCCACACCAGGACTGGTCCAGGGTGCCACACCAGGACTGGTCCAGGGTGCCACACCAGGACTGGTCCAGGGTGCTACACCAGGACTGGTCCAGGGTGCCGCACCAGGACTGGTCCAGGGTGCCACACCAGGACTGGTCCAGGGAGCCACACCAGGACTGGCCCAAAGCGCCACACCAGGACTGGTCCAGGGCGGCACACCAGGACTGGTCCAGGGCGGCACACCAGGACTGGTCCAGGGCGGCACACCAGGACTGGTCCAGGGGTGCCACACCAGGACTGGTCCAGGGGTGCCACACCAGGACTGGTCCAGGGTGCCACACCAGGACTGGTCCAGGGTGCCACACCAGGACTGGTCCAGGGTGCCACACCAGGACTGGTCCAAAGCGCCACACCAGGACTGGTCCAGGGGTGCCACACCAGGACTGGTCCAGGGTGCCACACCAGGACTGGTCCAGGGTGCCACACCAGGACTGGTCCAGGGTGCCACACCAGGACTGGTCCAGGGTGCCACACCAGGACTGGTCCAGGGTGCCACACCAGGACTGGTCCAGGGTGCCACACCAGGACTGGTCCAGGGTGCCACACCAGGACTGGTCCAGGGTGCCACACCAGGACTGGTCCAGGGTGCCACACCAGGACTGGTCCAGGGTGCCACACCAGGACTGGTCCAGGGTGCCACACCAGGACTGGTCCAGGGTGCCACACCAGGACTGGTCCAGGGTGCCACACCAGGACTGGTCCAGGGTGCCACACCAGGACTGGTCCAGGGATCCACACCAGGACTGGCCCAAAGCGCCACACCAGGACTGGTCCAGGGAGCCACACCAGTACTGGCCCAAAGCGCCACACCAGGACTGGTCCAGGGCGGCACACCAGGACTGGTCCAAAGCGCCACACCAGGACTGGCCCAGGGTGCCACACCAGGACTGGTCCAGGGCGCCACACCAGGACTGGTCCAAAGCGCCACACCAGGACTGGTCCAGGGCGGCACACCAGGACTGGCCCAGGGTGCCACACCAGGACTGGTCCAGGGCGCCACACCAGGACTGGCCCAGGGTGCCACACCAGGACTGGTCCAGGGCGCCACACCAGGACTGGTCCAAAGCGCCACACCAGGACTGGTCCAGGGCGGCACACCAGGACTGGCCCAGGGTGCCACACCAGGACTGGTCCAGGGCGGCACACCAGGACTGGCCCAGGGCGCCACACCAGGACTGGTCCAGGGTGCCACACCAGGACTGGTCCAGGGCGGCACACCAGGACTGGCCCAGGGTGCCAGACACTAGCGTCATAGACTGTGAAGGTCAGGGGTCGAGGTCACCCAGGGCCAAACTTGACTTCATTTTATTCCTCTTATATGTGAGTGAAAGGCGAACATCATAGTTTTGTTCAAACACTTTCCAATCAACCTGTCCTCTTAAAAAGAACGTCGCTTTTGGCCGTTTGCCCGTATGGCCGAATATGGACGTAATTTGAAAATGAAAAAAAATAAAATAAATTTGGGATTTTTTTTTTCAACAACATTAAGTTAGGGGTCTTCTGATAGGTTCGGTGGGCAGGAAATTCTCATAAAGTTTCAAAACGTTATGAAAAACGTTAATGGAAAGTTTCCTCTTCTAAGCTTGCCGAGTCGGCCGGACGACTCAAACAGAAAACGGAACAGTACGTTACTTTTGTGAGTCGATTTCATTTCAAATTACGTCCAAATTTGGCCATAGCGCGCATACGGGCCAAAAGTGACGTTATTTGTATGAGGACGGGTTGTTCCATTAGTCACTGCTAAGTTCCGCTAAGCCATTATTGTGGGCACCATAATATAGCCAGCAAGACACTGGCTTAGGGTGTAGGCAGAGACCGGGCCTCGGGGATCCACACCTCACCAACTTTTCTAACCTCAAAAGGTTAAACTGAGGTCAAGGGTTCAAGGTCTTTCTTGCCATCTCCACGACGCCCGAGATTACTTTTTATGTCGTCCTCAAGTCCCCACACCTGTTCCCACTCCTCGTCATTGTACTCCCAAAATAATATTTTTTTTTTTTTTACAAGGTTTTGGGTTATGACCATTTAAATATTTAATTTTCATTATTGATTATTAATTATTATTATTATTATTATTAGGTCATTATTGAGTGTACTCACCTAGTTGTGCTTGCGGGGGTTGAGCTCTGGCTCTTTGGTCCCGCCTCTCAACCGTCAATCAACTGGTGTACAGATTCCTGAGCCTATTGGGCTCTATCATATCTACACTTGAAATTGTGTATGGAGTCAGCCTCCACCACATTACTTCCTAATGCATTCCATTTGTCAACCACTCTGACACTAAAAAAGTTCTTTCTAATATCTTTGTGGCTCATTTGGGCACTCAGTTTCCACCTGTGTCCCCTAGTGTGTATTAGAGAAGGTGCGTGAAGGTGGTGCTGGAGTCCTGGGTCATGGTTAGTGCTCATATTCCATTCACTTTCTCTGTCAGTTTTGGCAGATCATTTCTTGCTTGCCATGTTTATGTTGTGTTCAGTTGTGTTTATAGTCTTAGATACATGTAGGTACAGTGGACTACATGAAGGGTTACAGTGTGTGTATTTCGGGAGGGTAGCTGTGAGATGTTGACGGTCACTATCCCGCAGTCATATAGGGCCGTGTATTAGTAGGCTGCGTTCACCATCCCGCAGTCATATAGGCCCGTGTATTAGTAGGCTGCGTTCACCATCCCGCAGTCATATAGGGCCATGTATTAGTAGGCTGCGTGCGGTCACACACTCCGGATATATAATGATCA